GAATAACTTAGAACGGAAATATTATATGACGTAAAATAAATTTTATCTATTTTAAAAAGAAAAAACAAAAACAGTCAAGTGGAATAAACCGAAATAATAAAAAAAACTAAAAATTAAATTTATTTATTCAATATGTTTTTTTTTTATTTATTTTATATAGATTACTATTTTTTAACCTTGAATTATTCTATTTTATTAATTTTTTTTCTAATTTTAATAATTAAGTATAATTTGATAGTTCTTTTCTAAAAACTTAATTTAAACAAGTTAAAAAAGTTAAATTTAGTCTACGCCTAAAACTGAATTCGCACCCAACTTAACTGTCTTAACACGTAACTAAAAAATTTTTATACTCCGTAAAAGTAGAGAGACTTTTTTTGTGGAGTTTTCAAGAACTTATTAGAATATATGGTTAGTTTGATGATTAATTTTGTCGGTGAGGTAAGTTAGCCGTATCCTGATTAGTATTAATTTATCGTTTAATACTACCACTGTCCTATGACCAACAGGTCGTCATCAAATGTTCGATTCCAGGTCGCCTATCTAAGCCACCAAGTTCTTTTGAGCAATCTCTCAAAATTTGTCATTCGGCCCCTCCTAGAAAAACACTAACAGTATAATACTACAAAATAATCAACTACATCTTCTCAACTACATCTCTTGGTAATTGTGACACAATACATTCAAGAGCATATTAGCTCAATTAACAATTACAAAAATTCTTCATAAATTTAGTAGGAGTATAAGTGAAGGGCTCAGAAGCAACGCGGTCTAACCTTTATTTCCAAAATTTTGGCCACAAGACCACTTTTGCACTAGAAAAAATTAAATTTTGCCAAAAAAAAAAAATAATGGAATGTAGGAAATATATTTGATTTTTTTGTCTACAAAATTAAATTTAGGACCTAATTTTATATAAATTTCTAACAGAAAAGCAAACATTGGGAATAAAGTTTAAGCCATTTTGCTTCTGAGCTCCTCGTAAATTAAACAAAAACGTAAAATTCTCATATAACGGGTACCTAAAATTTATGGAAGATACCTATTTCAAACTATATAATTATACCTTAAAAATTTACCTAAAACTATATAATTACAATCAAATTTAATAGATTGAATGAGCACAAAATAGGTACAATTTAAAGTAGAATTTTACATGCCGTACGAGCATATACAAATATTTTTATATGCCGTATATTTCTGCGCAGTATACCTTTTTCTGAGTCTGAGGCTTTGAACACTTTTCGAAAAAGTTAACTAAAAAATTTATTGTTATGAAAATGTTTCATAACTTTTTTCCGAATTTATGGCCGCACATATATATTTTTTGTTGATTTTGTTCGGACCCTTCTTGAAACCCATTTAAAAGGCCCGTTTAATAAATGATTTTTTTTTGGGAGTCTCACAGTTTTAGAAAAAAATTTTCAGAACACTTCATGATTATTTTCTCCGTTTGTAGTGTTGACAGAGAGACAAACATAGACAACAAACAAACCGAAATTGATATAAGCATTTTTTTTACATTGTTTGGAAAAATTAAAAGTAATTTGAAATTTATAAGAAAAAAATATTAGAATTTAAACAAATATCAATCATATTAGACACATTTGTATTTACTAATCAAAAGTCATTCTAAAAATGGATAACTTCAGAAATTTTCTAAAAATAAGTAGCCTTGTTAGAAAACGTGAGATTTACATGCATTCTAATGCGTTTACTTATATTACAATGTAAATAAATTTTGTGGTTGATCAAAAGCAAAAATATTACTTAATAATTTATTCTCACTTGTCTTGCAGGAAATTATATACTTACATATTAATTTTCCTTTATTTTATATTTTTGTTTAAATAGATACTTCAAAAAGTACTTGAAAATTAAGTAACTGTAAATTATAAAATTACTTAATAACAATTCTATTTATTTATTTAGCATTAATTCAAAAGAATTGTATTTATATTTGAAAAAAAAAACCCCTTTGTAAATTTTATTATAATGAACAATTTATTTGTTTTAAAATTTTCATTATAAATATTGGTTTGAGTCTAATGTATAGCGGTGCAGTTCAAGTATTTCAAATTCATAATAAATGTACTTAGATCTAAATACGTGTTATACTGATGATATAAGAATTAGTCATTAACATTTACAACTGACTCAAATGCATTTTATTTTTTTATTTAGATTTATTTTACAAAAATTTCAGGAAAATTATTGTAATAATTGTAATAATAAATTGTACTATTGTAATAAATAGTACTATTATAATAATAATACTTAATACTACAAGTACTTCGAAATTTCGTTACTATTTTTACTGTTGTAACTGAAATTCATTATTTTTAATTTGAATCCAAATATTTTAATTTCATTTATTCTAGTTTATATGTAAGATTTATTTTAACTTTACATAGCTACATGAAGAAATGCACAATATTTGCCTATATATTTCAACATAAAACATATTATATACTAATTAAAATAAATGTGTATACATGTAGTTATCCGTAATCCTTGAAATTCATTATACTATATGGAGTACATAAATTCGTTACTATAATGGTTACTTTATGTGCATGACAATCTAATTAACATATAACAGTAAATTTAATTAATAATATAAGAAAAAATCGTCAATTTTTTTTCTCTTTTCATTTATTTATTTAGCGGTGAAAATTTCAAGACAAAATAAACATGTTTAAAAGTTACTAAGAGCATAATTATATACCCACCATATTTATGTGTATTATAATATAAGTACGTGTGTAAATGAATAAAAATGAAGTATGTATATATATACAAAATGAAATGAAATTAAAATTTCGACAAAAAAAAAATAACAAAAAATATTTTACCATCATAAAATAGTTTTGAAATCATTCATAAACTCTTCATAAATATATATATATACATATATATACAAAACGTTCATAATTATAGCCAAAAATGTGCTGTTCGTATAAAATCTGACCATATCTGTATTACACTCATATATGGTCATGTTACTTTCCTTTCACGTTCAAGATAGACCAACGTGTTTAAGACAATATTAAATTTTTATTATTTAACCATTACTTAACATGAAAACCTTATTATATCTGTAATAATGTATGAAGTAATAACATATACTATAAAAATGGGTTTCAGCGCATTGTAAATTATTGATTTAATTAAATAACAATTGACATTAACAATTTCTGCTATTATCTGTTCAAAAATAATAATTGTAATTATAACTCGTTAAATTAAATGCTAAATTAATAAAAGAAAAATAATAAATATTCTTAAGAGATAATACTAAAATTGATGATTGATGATAATTAATAAACAAATATGCAAATAAAAAGTTAGTACATAAAAACTAGTAGGAAGAGGTTAAACTTTTATTCATATGAAACGAAACAAGTCAAATTAATTTAGATATTTTGATGACACCTAGAAAAAATCTTATGCACAATTCGATTATTGTATTCTAACAATAAAATATCGCACCACCCATTTTAATAGAGTAATTGAATAGATAGATTGAATAGAGTAAACCATAAATCTTTTCAAAAACACAGTAAATTGCGACAATGCAGTCGAATCTACGGTATATTTGTATTCTTAAACAAATGTAGCAAATTCAATATTGTATATTAAAGTTTATAAATATTGCTAATTTGTCAGCAATATCATGAACTTTTCTGAATAGCGTAGTAAAATCACATTAACTGTTTTGTTTTTATTGAATTGTCAAAAATATATTGCATATCTGTCATGTTGCATATATTTTTTGCAGTATTGCGTTAACGAAAGTATTGCGTTTATATTAGATTTTTGTATGATAAATAGATTTAAAAATCTAATTTTGAGAGACATTTTCTCTCAAAACTATGTTGCTTTTAAATGCTTTTTAAAATTTGTTATAGAAATTTTCGAGATTTGCAATATTTTATGAATTTATTCAAAACTTACGTCATCCTTATATCTTACAAGTATATTATGTTTACAAACAAAAAAAAATCTGGTCAGCACATAACCGACCGCATTGTATATTGTCTAGTTAAATGAAAGGGTTACAGAATATTATAAAAAGGTCTGTTAAATACTTCTTTCCAATTTTTAGGACATTAGTAAGCTTATAGTTAACATACCTAGAAAAATGTAAATTTTGCACTTAGTAGAGTTTCGCTTTATGCTACCCGAATTCCCAGAAAAGCTCGCCAGTTAACCAGAACTCAAATATTAAATTTCAAGAAATTCCATCAATTCGTTCCGTAGATATGGTGCAAAATGTAAAATCGACCCGCAAATCAGTTTTCGAGCCCTGATCTTTCCAAAAAATTTATATGTTCATTGTTTCAATACGAGGAATTCAAATATTAAATTTTAATGAAATCGGTCAATTATTTCTCTATATATACGCAAAAATGTATATTTTTTGCCCGTAGTAAACGTCCAGATGCCTGATTTCTTCCAAAATTTAGAAATTTTTGCGGACGGTGGAGAAAAGCTTATATATGAAATTTCAAGTAAATCGATTGAATACTTTCTTCAAAATGTTCAAAAATGTAAAACAGGCCCGCAAAAAAGTGCAGTTCCCGAGGCCTGATATATCCCAAAAGTTGATCAATCCGTGGCATGGTATGGAAATAAACTTACATATAAAATTTCATCAAAATCGGTTCAGCAGAACTTGAGATACATGCGTGCACACACAGAATATGATCGTAGAACAAAATCAACTTTGATGAAGTGCATGATTATGTTGTTCACTAAATATGTATTACAAATGAAATGTCTTTTCTGAGTCAAAAGAATTTTCGAAAATATTTTGGGGGAAAGAACAAAAACTTTAAAATGCCCTCCTCAAAATCGTCATTTTCGACTTACGATAATTTCGTACACAGGTTGCATGATTCATATTGAAGCATTCTTATTCCTTTTTTATTTGATCAAAATTTAATTTTTTATTTTTGTATGTTTTATTTCTTCTTTTCTTTATAAATCATGTATAGCCTTTACTACTGGTGGTATAGCTGGATTGGGTGTAACAGGAGGTGCCCATAGATTATGGACTCATAGATCATATAAAGCTAATACACTATTGAGAGCAATTCTTATGTGTTGTTTTTCACTTGCAGGACAGGTAAATTTATATTGTATTTTTTTTAACTTTAATTTAAGCATAAACTTTTAATAAAATTGTTTTTTTTTTTCTTTTCTATATAATTTCTCATTATATAAAGAATACATTATTTGATTGGGTAAGAGATCATCGAGTACATCATAAATATTCAGAAACAGATGCTGATCCACATAATTCAAATCGTGGTTTCTTTTTTGCTCATGTTGGTTGGTTAATGATGCATAAACATCCAGATGTTATAAAACGTGGACGTCAAATTGATATGTCAGATGTTTTAAATGATCCAGTTGTACAATTTCATCAAAAATATTTTATACCATTGAAAATGTTATTATGTTTTATAATACCAACAATAATACCAGTATATTTTTGGAATGAAACATGGGAAGCTTCTATTATACAACAATGTATATTCCGTTATGTATCTAGTTTACATTTTACATGGTCTGTAAATAGTGCAGCACATATGTGGGGATATCGTCCATACGACAGGTATATAATAAATTTTATAATTGATTTTAATTTTTTTTTTATACGAACTAGAATCAATGACTATAACATAATATATTTGTTCTTTTTTTTTTTTAAATATATAGACGAATTAATCCAAGTGAAAATCGTTTTGTATCAGTTATTGCAATGGGTGAAGGATGGCATAATTATCATCATGTATTCCCATGGGATTATAAAGCAGCTGAATTGGGAAATTATAAATTAAATTTAACAACAATGTGGTTAGATATATTCGCAAAATTAGGTTGGGCATGGGATATGAAACAACCATCAGAAGAATTAATAAAACGTACTATTGTTAAATATGGTGATGGTACACATCCAATATATGGTGATCAATATCATGATCATCAACATGTTGAAGAAGTACCAGTACCAAAAGATGATGATACATCAAATTTAATAATATATAATAGAAAATCTGAATAATATTATATATATATATATATATATATATATATATAATTGTATAAATAATTAATAAATATATTTTATATGACATATTATATATTTATATATTTACTCATAACCATGTATTGTGTATAATAATCATATATAATAATTAAATAATTAAATTGTGTGTGAACGAAAAAATTTTAAATTAAAAAAAAAAACGATTTCGTATATAGGAGTAAATAGGAAAAAATTTTTTTATAATTTTTTTTTAAATTTTATCAAAAAAAAAAATTAAAAATTATAAAGACTATTTTTTGTTTATTATTTTAAATTATTTAACTTTGTTCTTTTGATAATTAATTAATAATAATTATTAAAAAGAAATTAAATTAGGGTAAAAAAAAATTATCTACTCTTCCTTAACAAAAAAAAAAACATTCATTTTTAATTCTCAATTTCTAAATATTTTTATTTTTTTTTTATTTTTTGATTTTCACTAATTAAATTAAAACAAATCACTAACTAAATGTAAAAATAATATTGCTTTTTAATATTAAATATTACTAAAATCAAAAAAACAAAGTATAGAATTAAGAAACAAATTCCAAAAAAAAAAAAATGAAAAGAACCATGAAGCTTTTTAAAGGTAAAAGGTAAAATATTTAAATTAATTATTGTAAAAATTAAGAATAATATTTACTATACAACAAAAAAACGCACCATTTCGGGATATAAGTGTTTTTTTTTTCTCAATTTAAGGTAAGACCGTACAGAAAACCTTTTCTATGAAACAAGAGAGAAAAAATCTATGAGAAATTCTTAAATTTTAACACAATTTTTTTTTTTTTAGTTCTAAATTCAAAATCTCGAAAAAATATTTGACTTCATCTATTTTTTAAATTAAACTAATTTCTATCATTATATTTTCAGGTATAACAATTTAATAATATTGCATAAATTAATATTAATATTTCGGACCGATTGATAGAAAATATCCAAATTGTGTCGAACTTCACTAAATACACAATACACACTTTTAAAATGTATTTTATAATTTTAATCAGAATTATGTATAACAGTTTTTGAAAATTCAGTACTAAACTGACAATTCTAAGAAAAAAGAAATAATTCTTATCCTACTGAGAAAATATCTGAAATAGAGGAAGTGACCGTATTGTTTTAAAATCAGTAAAATTCTTAGAAAAAAGCTTATTGAATAAAATCGTAGTTAACTGTAAAAAAAATTCAATTACCAATTTTTTCATATTTCTTACGTGACTAATAAGCAGTACGTAATTTTCAAAAATACTTACTTGACATTTCTTATGAAACTAACACACTGCAAGTGAGTACTTATTACTAGAAAAATTAGAACTGAATTTTCAAAAACACGACATTTGTTTTTATTTCTTAAAGTCTGTATAAAATTTTTAATAATAAAACAACATAATAATTATTTAATTAATAAATAATTAAAAAAATATATTTACATTAAATGATTATTATTAAAAATGACGAGCAAAAATATGAATATATAAATCAAACATTCCATAGAAATTCAAAAATTGCCGTCCTACAGGCGCACATAAAATATTCTATGTTACATTTACATTCTGTATTCTATAGTATGGCAAATGTTATACGTTCGTATCGTTAATAATTATAAATTATGGATCTGTATAGCATGACTACTTAAATATGAAGGTGTAAATTAAACAAGTGTGGATATTCGATTCCATCAATGTGACTAGCTATTCGATTTAATTGATAAAATTAACAATGCATCGCTCACGTACATAATATAGCATTTACAATTTTCATAAATTTTTAATAAAAATGAAGCAAATTTTTAATGTGTTAAAATTTCATTTTCTTTCCGTCAAAAATTACAAAAAAAAATATATATTATACAAGTATTTTGTAATGTATGTGTATATTTTTCTTTTATATATTAACTATACGTATAAATATAAATATTGATATATTGCTAAGAAATATATAAAATATTTTCAATTTTAAAATATAAGTACCTTTAATTTAATAATGAAAAAAAAAAAAAAAAACTTAAAAAAAAATCTTTTTAGTATGTAAAAAAATTAAATGTAAAAGAAGAAAATTGTGAAATTAATAATTAATTTTTATAAGGAAACAAAAACAAAAAAAAAACACCAGAATAAATAAAAAGTGGGTTTAAATATAAAGATCTATATATATAAATATATATAAATAAAAAACTTATATACAGATGATTTTTCTTTTTTTTTCGACTTATTTTGTAGAGTCCATTTTTTATAGACGGTGTAAAAGAAATTGTTAGCGGTGAAAACTAATAAAAGATTCATAAAAAATTTAATCAACAACCCAAGATTCTTGAAATATGGAATGTATATATGTATATACAAGATAATTACATATTGATGCAACATCAAAATAGGGAAAAATTAGAAAACTTCGAAAGTTCGAATGTTTGTCTTTCTGAAAATACGTGCTCAAAATAAATAATAATGTGAAATTGGCTTATGAAAACGCATTCAAATGTCCTTTCAAACTCTGTTTATTTGAAATTGCTATCTTTTTTAGAACGGAAGTTATAAACCAAAAAAATTTAGGCCTGTGAAAGTTTTAAAAAATTTTCTTAACATCTGTTTTTCTTGAAAATTGTTCTTGGCAACAAAAAATTTACCAGTTTTTGATCCTCTAACCAATAGTATACATTGTTGTATATACCTTTCTGAATCTAGAATTTCTAAGACTTTTTAAAATGAAAATTTTTATGACATAATCTTTACCAAAACATGAATTGAATAGCATAAGTTATATAAGAGCTTAATTATTGCAAAAAATATAAAGTGATATTTCTCAGAAAAACTAAGTAGCAATTTCATTTATTAAGAAACATTACCAAAAACTTAGATATTTTTACTCAGAATCAAATTGCATGTCGATTTACTTATTTAGATTTTGTTTACTAACAGCCTAATCGTGTATCTTGCTTTTTTTTTACTCACTTTTTATTCACTTTTAAATGAGAATTCTCCCTTTTCCTAATTGATATTTCGTTTTTTCAATAATTGGATTTTTGTATTCTTTCTTAAATTTTCGACTGAACGTCTTACTTTCAAAAACAAAATGAATAAATTTTGTACGATACTTTTTGCAAAAAAAAACGAGATAAGCAATATGGAATAATTCTTCTCACTCGAAAATTACATTATGCAAATATATAATAGTTACTCGTTTTTTTTTTCACTTGCCGAGTAAAATAGCTAGATGGACGATAAGGACTACTTTTATTCGCTAAATTTTTACTAAATAACGAGAATATTTCCTTCGATATTATGAATTTCAGTTTCATTTAAATTGCTATATAAAATAACCTTATAATTTTTGTATTCAATTTAAGTTCTCACATAACACGCCAGATCTATAACACTCCCAATTGCACAATCTTATATCTTATAAGCCGTTGCAAAAGTTATAGGAAGACTCATATTTATTACTGTGTAGGCAATTTTATTTTGCGAAATGAACGTCAATTTCTCTATATTTAATGTTAATTTTTTTCTCACCTATAAAAGACGATTTTATTAGAAAACTTCCATACAAAACAGGTTATTATGTGCTAGAGTCTTTACGAATATTTTGTTCTTTTAAGCAACGCTATATGAAAATGCTACTCTAGCACTGCATTATCATGGTAAAAATCACTCAACGGGCTTAAGCAATCAATTTGTTTAATTATTTAATTTTAATTAAAAAAAAAAAAGTCTAAAGAATTTGCCAAGCTAAAAAATGGTACATTTTTCATGAAGGAGATTAAATCATTTTTTCATTAAATAGAACACTTATATGTTATATAACAGATTTATAAATTTTAAAAACTAAAATGAAAATAAAATATTAACACTTTCCAAAATAATTAAAGTATAAAAATTGCAAAATTTATGTACTTTAAGTTGTAAAACAAGAGTTTGTAATTAAAAATAATTTTTTATAAAAATAAAACGCGTGCTCTATTAATTTGTATTTTGAAATTATGTTAACCTTAAACAATGTACATAGGTATATATAACGTCTAAAAATGTTATAATTTCACTTAATTTTGTTTTCTTGTCCCCCTTTATACTCGTACTTTAAATTGGATGATAAAAGTAAATTTAATGCGCTCAGAGCTCTAAAAATTTTTTTGGAAAAATAAAATGAAAGAAATAAGAAATTTTTTTTTTCCATTTATAATTATTGTCATAATATTATGCACACACATGTAAACATATACATTAACACATAAGTGTTATACATAATTTCGTTTTTTTATTTCTTGACTGCTGTGCGATTTTTTTTTTCACTTAAAAAGAAATAATAATTTTATTTTACGAAATAATAAAATAAATACTTACATACACACATATATTTTTCTAATTTATCACTTTTTATTGAAATTTTTGAATCTTGAAATTAAAATCATTTTCATAAAATTATACGATAAACTTTAAAACTATAAATGAAAGATTTGAGAGATAATTTTTACGTAGCAAACTGCAATTATTCACACACAAACAATCAATTATTTATTGGTATATATGAAGTATTAGAGTATATATTTTAAATTACTCTAATCTCTAAGTTAGTAAATTAAATGAGTGACAAAATAAAATTTTAGCTGCCAAAAGACCATCAAATTATTGTTAATGGTTTTATTTTAAAAATTTGTAGACCTAGTTATCTATTTTTGGTTTGCACCATTTTGAAAAACAAAAAGTAGCTTAAATATACCAGTTACAGCTTGAATTTAAGGGGAATTTTTTATTACAGTTATTGTTACTGGCAATAATGAAAACTGTCTAAGTCAGAGCAAATAGTTTCGACAAAGCCTATTGTAAAAATTCAAATGGGTATTTTTGGTTTTTGTGGAAAATTTTAAGAATTGCCATAAAAACTATGTGAATATTTTATTGTTGATTTTTTTTTATTACGGTCCGCATTGCTTAAAGTTCGGATATCGAATTTTCGGTGGGAGCCTACTTCTTTATGGTAGGGAAGCGTAATTAATCTATTTTTAGAAAGATGACAGTCTGTCTGT